TACTCCCATTTTTTCTCCAATATCTGACGAATGCAAAAGATCTGATCTGTAGTTGATCTGTTATGTCAAAACCCACACTGATGATCCCCAATAATTTCATCTATATATGAACTTAACCTTGAAAGAAGAATATTGGACAAAATTTTATATGAAGTTGATAGCAGTGATATCCCCCAATAATTACTACAGTCAGTTTTATCACCTTTCTTGTGAACTGGTACAATAATAGACTCCTTCCACTGATCAGGCAATTTCTTCTTATGCCAAATAAAAGTAATTAGATTGTGGATCTTAGAATGTAATATTTCACCTCCTACTTGAATGAGTTCTGCCGGAATTTGATCACTACCTGGCGATTTATACCGTTTCAATTTTGCAATAGCACTTTCAACCTCCAAAGGTATAAGATCAGGTATTAACGGCTCAGCTGTATCAATTTCTGTCTGCCTAACAGCACTGACCCTATGTACATTCAATAACTGAGAGAAGTAGTTCCTGCACCTATTCAAAATGTTGTGGGAATCTGCAAGCAGATCACCATTCTCATCCTTCACTAAGTTACTTCTAGGCTGGTAACCCCTCCTAAAGTCATTTATTCCTCTATACAGGTCTCTGATGTTCCTGTTCTTACTGTTGATTGCAAGCTCATCAATTTTATCTTTCAGATATTCCCTCTTTTTGTTCCTGAAATTCCTGCTGGTTTCACGTCATATATTGTTCAGAGGGATGAAAAAAAAGGCTTGGTTTAGTGATTTCATAATATTAGACTTACACAAAGAAAGCTCTGATTTTCAAGCACAGTTCCTTCCCACATAGAAAAAGAACCTGGTACAAAGGACAGGTTCTCACATCCAAACAGCAATGAATCTGTTAAAATGGACCTTACAGAAACAGATTGTGGGAATAGCAACTTGGCTAAAATTATACATGATTTTTCATCTCTCCATTACATACTACATGCCCCGATTTGGAATACATGTTACAAAGTTTCTCATTATGCAATTTTCCATAGCCTCCTGTTACTTCTTCCTCCTTGGTCCAAATATTACCTCAGTAACCCGTCCTCAAACACTGTGTGTAAATTAAATTAAATTCGTGTCTTATGAATTAACAGTAAATACAAAACATTACAATTACACATTATTTCGTTATCTTAACTGTCGAGAAATTACAAACAAAACTACAATAGGCGGGAAGCATGTTCTGTAGACCAGTCTTTGTTACATACAAGCACGTAAGTTGTTCAGACCAGTCTTGTTACACACAAGCACTTACCATAACAAACCAAAATAAAATGAACATGCACAGCCATAAAACATCAGTACAACGCCGAGTTCCGTCTCTTTCGCTTCTGGATGCTGCGGCAGTGTCGTCGTCTCCATCGCAGCATGACATCTTTTAAAACACCTGGTAAAATAATGCATAACACTTGCTTTGAATTTTTAACAATCTCACTACCCTTCTAACCTCTTTGCTAGCCAAATTTGCATTGCACACTTTAACTCAACAAAATAATTAATTATTGTTTCAGACATCGGCTATAACTAGAGTCACTTAAATAAACAAAGTACTACTAACGCCTTACCATCAAATAAACACACTCACTATAAAAACACTAAACATAACTGCAATCATGAACGATCATGACGATCATCACTCCAACGAAACAGGTTTACCATCCGCATCGCGAATACTTATCGCACATCGCACAATTGAGGGATGTTGGGAAATTCATCTCCCGCAGAGACGGAGACGGAGCCTGCGCGCCTTGTGCGTGTGATGGCTGAAAAGGCCGAAAATTGCGAAATGAAAATATAAAATAACAACACAATTAGAAGTTTTTAATTTCAGCACGTTACGCAATAAGTCGAATTAATTCAAACTCTATTACTTAATCTTAATGATTTCCAGATATTTCAATTCTAATTAAGTCCACCGTTTTGGAACTGAGGTACTGCTAACCTGTCAGCTTTCACGAATTACAACTAACCGTACATAACGGAGAAACTTTAAAAAAATACGGGCATAAACATAATACTACATGAATTCAGATTTATCTATGAATACTTGGGCTGAATCCCAATTCTGGCCAGTTTGTTGATGATGATAACATCTAAAAGTTTGTGATGATGGTATATTGCTACAAGTATTATGTTTTTGGACATTATCCATCTCTTGTCTATTTTTTAAAAAATAAACAAGACGATGGCAGTTTGTTGATGCTTTTAGAGTGGGTCAACAATTTCCTACAAGATTTATGATTTCTAATTACCCAAACGTTCAGTTTCCATAAGACTTTTATCATGTGTGGGCCATCAAACCATAATTGCAAATATGAATGAATGATGGAGTTGATGTGACATCTCCAGAATCACTTCGTTGGTAGGAAATTTTATTATGCACCTTATTTAACACTAACTTGGGAGTGAAACTGATGACATGTGGCACATCAGACTAAGGATAAATATGTTGTGATGCATTTCAAATGGGGTATCCTGTCACATTTCCCAAAGGCAACAACAAAAACTCGAAATTGCCAATGTTTTCTATTATACCAGCTAAGGTAAAGCCATCTCTTCATTTAAGCACCATGACATGAATATGCACAGGGTAGTGAAGACACAGCTCCATACATCACCATTCACATGAGTTAGTTTGAGCTGCTCACTCCCATGAAAAAAAAATATCCTGTACCCATTGTTTAAAAGGCTGAGTTAACCACAGAAACAAGATCAGGTTAAAAAGTATCTTGACTGAAATCATCTCAGATCATACCACACAGGGATGTGGCTGTGATGAAAAGATCATGTTCTTGTATGTTCAGGCACATTTACAGGCAACTGTTGTTTCAGCCCACCTATGGCCAGAATTTAAAATTAAGAGCATTTTTATCACAAAATGACTCAATGATGGGGGCACATTATATTTCGCAACATCAGAAAGACAGCAAACTGAAATTTCAAATAGCATTTTGATATAAAACAATGAGCTAGATATGAGTTCTGTACAATTTCAGTGCTTCAGAAAGTGAAGTGTCCTGAACACCCTTCAATCAGTTGACACACCGAATGACTGGTAGCTCAAGCATGTGATTTAGTGCAAAATGATTGGCTATACACAATACAGGATTTTCTCATGGCTCATGTCATAAAATTTTAATTAAGACAGGGTTATGTGTTCAGTCTTTTACATCTGACACAGAAGCAGAAAGAAAACTGCTTGTCTCTTTTTTGACTTCCTTGGATGTGCAGAAACTGCCCATAGTTTCTTAAAAATACATTTGGTGAAATAGGAATCTACAGATATGACCCAAAATCTAGGTTGTCATCACAGTGGAGATCCCCTTCTTCACCATGATCAAAAAGTGGCACTGCAAGTGCACAGAAAATCAAAGTGATGTAGATTGTTTTCTTTTTGTCACAAAGGTGCTGTCCATTATCAATACATTTTACAAGGTTGGAATATGAACCAACATTTCTATCCACAAATGCTGAGATGGTGCAGTTCACTGAAAACAGCCATAAAGTGGATAACGGAAATGCTGAAAATAACGAACAGCAACCAAACAGAGATGAAGGCCAACCAGGAGAAGGCGAGGCCGATAGGATGGCTGAGATGGAAGAAAGGAAGGCCGATAGACAGACTGACCGAAAGGAACTAAAAGAAATTATGGAAAGGATGATGCATACCAACCAGACCAAAACAGAAGCACAGCTCGAAGGTCTCTCAGAGAGGATAGAAAAGACAAATATTGCACTACAGACAGCATTAGTGCACCACGACGCGACAACAAAAAGGCTCAAAGAAGACCTCACAAACACCTATAACGAAACCTGCAAAAGAATCGAGGAAACCAAACGTGAATTCCGAGCCAGGTTGGACAGGACAAGGCAGACGAGGGCCGAGAGGACAAACACACCGGGAATTGGCACGTGCCCAGCCCAGCCACCGACGTTCGAGGGAACTACAACATGGAGCGTATTCAGACGACAGTTTGAGGTCGTGGCGGAACACAATCAATGGTCGGACCAGAAGAAATCAACATACCTGATCACCGCTCTGAAGGGCCGGGCGGCAGAAGTGCTACCCGGCATTCCAACAAATACAACTTACGAGGACACCCTCCAGGCGCTAGAGGACCGCTTCGGGGATCAACACTTTGCAGCCGCCTACCGTTGCCAACTGACAAGTAGGATACAGAACCCTGGAGAGTCCCTACAAGATTTCGCCACGGCCATAGAAATATTTGCCCGCCGTGCCTACCCCAACCTGCTGGCAGACTATGTGGCAAAGGAGGCAGGGAAGGGATTCACATATGGAATAAGTGATGGTGACATCAAGATCCAGCTGCTGCTGGGAGGGGAGAAGACGGTAAACGAGGTCCCCCGACAAGCCCTAGAGCTGCAGGCCATACTGGTAGCAGCCAGACCTTGCGAAAATAACACCAACACATACCAGAAGTACCGATCGTTCCCCACCCAACGAAGAGTCGCACAACAGCCAAGATGTTGGAACTGTGGAGAGTCAGGGCACTTTGAGAGCAACTGCCACTACGGCAGAAGAAATGAAAATAGACAGCGCCGGGACGGACAACCAAGAGACAAGCGAGAACCACCAGGGAGACCAGAGTGGCAACCCAGTAACAACAGAGACACAAGCTGGGGAAGGGACCAACTGGCGGGAAACGAGCGAGGACTGGAGAAGAGGGGCGAACGCCGGCATATGCATTAAGGCCCCCCCACTACGCACTCACCGGCATCACGGAAAAAGCCAACACCAGTCTGGCCACCCAAGGGTGGGTCGGCGACAAACCATGCCAGGTGACAGTGGACACTGGAGCACGTCACGGTAGCAAGACCGGATATCGCTACCGGATGGCCTGAGAGACAGCCTAATCCAGATTTCACGCTACAGACCGTGTCTGGAGGACCCCTACCCATCCTGAAAGAAGTTCTGTTGACCCTGGCCCTGGGGCGCCAACCGCTAACAATGTGGGTTTTTGTTGCGAATATCACCGATGAGCTCATCTTGGGACTGGACATATTGCGCGCCTATGATTCATCTGTGGACATAGGGCGCCAAACGTTGCGGCTGGCAGAGGAAGAGGTACCGCTACGGATCCCGAGATCGGGACCCCGTCCGCCCGGTCTAATAGTGGCCAAAGACCATGTGATACCCTCGCAATGCGAGGAAGTGGTGATGGCTAGAATGGAGAACCCTCTGGGGGTGGAGAATGGTCTAGTAGAACCAAGCCCACGGGCCAATCCGCCTGAAGGAATCTACATAGCCAGGACCCTAGTTCGAGACTGTCAAGAAGCACCAGCGAGGGCCATGAATGCCACCCACAGAGACCAAAAGCTCAAGAGTGGATCCCCTCTGGAGCACTGTGAACAAGTAGCACTGGTGACTCTGACCGATGTGGAGCAGCCACAAGGACCGGGCATAAAACCAAAACCAGTGAACAGAAAACCTAAGGTGGCCCAACAACAGGTAGTCCCCATTGAAAACGCTGAAGCAATGCCGGTCGGAGAACCGAAGAGAAAAAGGCGCGGGGACCGAAAACTGGCCACGAAGCGCCGCCGCCAGAAAGTGAATTATTTGACATGGGAAGATTGCGAACCCCAGGAGAGATTGGCTGTCGCCCGCACAACACGCTGTGTGGAAGTGGCATGGAAAACGCAAATACACTGGAGGATGTCCCTCCATGCAGGAGTGGCACGATGTAGGGGACACATCATCGGAAATGAGACCAAATCACAACGCACCTGCCCACTCAGCCGTGTATGGAAATTTTTGGTTAACACAGCATTATACTATCTGTCACGTGCCTTTAACAATTCATTTCCAAATATAAATCTCAAATTCTCAACAAGGAAGGAAATTGAAAACATTATTAAACCCCTTAAGCCCAAAAATTCACATGGATATGATGAAATCTCTACCAATTTACTTAAAGCAAGCTCTGTTTACATCAGTTCACCCTTGCATCATCTATGTAATAAATCTTTTATCATCAGGTACTTTTCCTCAACGCTTAAAATACGCTGTAATGAAACCACTTTTTAAAAAGGAGAGAGAAAATGCATCTCTAATTACAGACCAATATCCATATTGACTTCATTCTCAAAAGTCTTTGAAAAAGTTATGTATAATAGACTACTTGAACACTTAAATTCTAACAACATATTAGTCAAAGAGCAATTTGGATTTAGGAAAGACCTAACAACAGAAAAAGCAACCTATGAACTAACTAACGATATTTTAAGTGCTCTCAATGACAGATTAATTGTGGGAGGGATTTTCTGTGATCTAGCAAAAGCTTTCGATTGTGTTAATCATGATATCTTACTATCGAAATTAAATTTCTATGGAATAACTGGCAAAGCTAATGAATGGATCAAATCATACCTCAAAAACAGGTATCAAAGAGTTGAAATAAATAATAAAAACTCCAGTCATAATGCATTTTCAAACTGGGGAATTATAAAGCACGGTGTTCCACAAGGATCAATTTTAGGTCCCTTACTTTTTCTTCTCTACATAAATGATCTATCTAAAACCATCAACAATAAATCTAAACCAATTCTATATGCAGATGACACTAGTATAATATTTAAGAACTCTAAATTTGAAAACTTTAAAAATGACATAAATATTGTATTTGAAG